AGAACTTTAAAATCAAATTGTATTTTATTTATTTATAAAACAAAAATAGTACCTCTACTATATTAACCTTTTCTATTTTACCTCTTTATATATTAATAATAGAATGTAAAATTAAGAATATTAATAATAGAATGTAAACTACTAGAATGAATGATTTTATTCTAGTAGTCCTATTATTAATATATAAAATAAAAAATAGCTTCTAGTGCCATTCGCTTAAACTATATAAATAGCTATACTATATGATATAATAACTGTACTAAATTAACTAATTTGCTTAAAAACCCTTGTGTGTTAAAGTCTCTTGTTTTAACAATTTATTTATGCATAAAACACTCTTTTTATTAAAAACAATTTACATACACATTTTACAATTATTATAAAACAATATGTTTGTAGTTTAATACACATTTTACAATTATTTTAAAATATTATTATGTTAGTAATTAATATAACCAAAATACTTAATATATAATTTTAGTTAAAATTTATTTTTATTCTTTAGTTATCTACTATATTGTATAAAGATATAAATTTGCTGAATTTTTATGCTTTCTTTTTTCCGTATCATTATTTTGAAAATAAAAATTAAAATAACAAACAGAGAATAATAAAAAATATATTTGGTGCCCCAACCCAATATTTAGTAGAATCATTAAAATATCGATGAAAGTATATATATATATATATATATATACCATATATATATATATATATATATACCATATATATATATATATATATATATATATATATATATATATATATATATATATATATATATATATATATATATATATATATATATATATATATATATATATATATATATATATATATATATATATACTATATATATATTACTATATATATATATATATATATATATATATATATATATATATATATATATATATATATATATATATATATATAACCCAATATTTAGTAGAATCATTAAAAATATTGATGAAAGTATATATATATATATATATATATATATATATATATATATATATATATATATATATATATATATATATATATATATATATATATATATACCATATATATATATATATATATATATATATATATATATATATATATATATATATATATATATATATATATATATATATATATAAATATATATATATATATATACATATATATATATATATATATATATATATATATATATATATATATATATATATATATATATATATATATATATATATATATATAAACATTCTGTTTGTTTTAAAAATATTCTAGTCTTTTCATTTGCGTTTTTGTGGTTGTTAAAAAAATGTCAAATTTAATTAGCTTCCTCAATTCAATTAATTTACTTAGTTTTGTCTTGTTATATGTCATAGAGTAGTTAGGAGTCATTCTTTTTATTGCGACAAATGGTAAGTTCAAGACCTTTACTATATATATATATATATATATATATATATATATATATATATAATATATATATATATATATTATATATATATATATATATAACCCAATATTTAGTAGAATCATTAAAATATTGATGAAAGTATATATATATATATATATATATATATATACCATATATATATATATATATATATATATTTATATATATATATATATATATATATATATATATATATATAAATATATATATATATATATATATATATTATACATATATATATATATATATATATATATATATATATATATATATATATATATGTATATTATATATATATATATATATATATATATATATATATATATATATATATATATATATATATATATATAATATATATATATATATACAAACATTCTGTTTGTTTTAAAAATATTCTAGTTTTTTAATTTGCGTTTTTGTGGTTGTTAAAAAAATGTCAAATTTAATTAGCTTCCTCAATTCAATTAATTTACTTAGTTTTGTCTTGTTATATGTCATAGAGTAGTTAGGAGTCATTCTTTTTATTGCGACAAATGGTAAGTTCAAGACCTTTACTATATATATATATATATATATATATATATATATATATATATATATATATATATATATATATATATATATATATATATATATATATATATATATATATATATATATATATATATATATATATATATATATATATATATATATATATATATAACCCAATATTTAGTAGAATCATTAAAATTATTGATGAAAGTATATATATATATATATATATATATATATATATATATATATATATATATATATATATATATATATATACCATATATATATATATATATATATATATATATATATATATATATATATATATATATATATATATATATATATATATATATATATATATATATATATATATATATATATATATATATATATATATATATATAAATATATATATATATATATATATATACATATATATATATATATATATATATATATATATATATATATATATATATATATATATATATATATATATATATATATATATATATATTATATATATATATATATATATATATATATATAAACATTCTGTTTGTTTTAAAAATATTCTAGTCTTTTAATTTGCGTTTTTGTGGTTGTTAAAAAAATGTCAAATTTAATTAGCTTCCTCAATTCAATTAATTTACTTAGTTTTGTCTTGTTATATGTCATAGAGTAGTTAGGAGTCATTCTTTTTATTGCGACAAATGGTAAGTTCAAGACCTTTACTATATATATATATATATATATATATATATATATATATATATATATATATATATATATATATATATATATATATATATATATATACTTATAGATAAATAGATAGATATACAAATAGGTAGATAGATATTATTTTTAGATATTATTAATAGGTAGATACATATATATTTTTTTTCAGGGTGCAAGAATATATATACAACTATATATATACTTTAAATATATATACAATTATATATATACTTTAGTTGATTTAGATTGCATTTATTATGTTATATTTTGTACTTTTTAAAATTTAAAATGCTGACCTTACAGTTTTTTAGAAAAAATAGTTAAAAACATAGCATAACTTAACGTAATTTCTCAGTAGGTGTATGTACTGAAGCCCTGATAAGCCCTGTTTTAGTGTGACATCATTAATAGCATTTGGTGCAAGGCCGATCATACAAATATACATGTATTTTCTGTACTTTAAGAACAACATTTTCATGCAGTAATAAAAAAGTGTTTAGATGAATTAATTATTTTTTATTCATTATCTTTTTTTTTTTGTAAAGGTTTCTGCATTTTAAGTATTTTTTTAAAGTTCCATTTAAATCTTTAGATGTTAATGCTTGCTTATTATATTTGGTTTTATCATGGAGCTTATGGTGAGTTTAGTTACTCTAATTAAATTTCTTAAATTATTGTAAATGTTATGTTGTCTATTAAAATTTTTAAATTATTTTAAATGTTATGTTACTTATGTTGTCAACTATGATATTAAGTAGTTTGGTATATTTACTTTTTTAGGAATTTTTAGTAAGGTTAAAAACTCAAGAAAAAAATAACTGTAAGATACAACTACTGTTACTTAAAAACAAATTATTATTAAAAAAAAAGTGAAACTATTTAAAAATGTTATTAAGTAACTTTTATTACATATAGTTACAAAGAGATAATGGCTGTTTTTCTTTGTGATATACCCAATTTAATCACAAATTTTGGCTCGAGAAGTGTTCAATTGATCGTTGAGAGTCAAGTTTATTCTAAGCTACAAAGTAGTAAATTATTACGAACAATGAATCTAAAGCTTGCTTTTACATTTTTTATTGTGCTAAAGCCATAAAAAAAAACCACTCTGGTAAAATAGCACCAGGGTCTACACCTTTACATATTAGTAAATTGTTGACAGCTTCATTACTAACTTGTACATTGATATTGGTGTTGAAAACATCTGTTGCACATGTTTTTTATTGTAACTTAGGAAGAATTGGCCAGCTCTCCACTTCTTAGTGTCAAGTAAATTCTTTACGCAATCAAACACAGTTGGCAAATCTATATATTGGCTTTAAATATTTTCATCTTCGCTTCCAATAAGGCTGCAAGCAACCACTAATTAAAGTTGGTAGTTACTGGAAAAGAAAAGATGAAGATTGTAGAGCAAGATAACGATTGATAGATGACTTGAAGGATTTCAAATTATATAAATCAGGAAAGCAAGATGAAGGAAGTGAATTCCAAAGAATTGATGTTCGAGGAAAAAAAGTAGACAAATAAGAATTTTTTGAGCACTTAGGAACAGTCACAGAAAAAGGATGAGACTTAATTAAGTGACGAGTAACACAAGAATGAATGGCACAAGAGATGTTAGCTCTTTAGAGCAGTGCCCATTAGTATTTGTAGAAAAGAGAAAGAGAAGCAACATTATGGCGATGTGATAATGGTTGGAGGTTGGCTGCAAAAGCAGGTCCAACTATGTTTACAATGCATTTTTGCACCTTGTCTAAAAGAGAAAGGGCATCATTAGAAGATCCGCCTCAGATATGGCAACAGTATTCCATACAAGGCCATTTTTCAACAGTATTCCATACAAGGCCATTTGAGATTTATAGAGATAGAGAATAGAATTCGGAGTAAGAAAGTATTAAGCTCGATAAAGAGATGCAACCTTAGCAGATGCTAATTTTGCAACAGATTTGATATATGGTTTCCAAAAAAGATCGGAAGTAAGAGTTAATCCTAGAAGATGAAGGGTTGATGACTCATCGAGTTCATTACCGTTAATAAAGGAAGGTACCATAAATAAAGGAAGGTCTAAATTATTGTAATAACGATTGGCTGGAAAAAATTGAGTTTTATCTGAATTAAGGTTCACCAGCCACTGTGAACCCCATGCTGTAGCAGAAGTGAGATCCTTTTCAAGCTCAAATGCATCCTGCAAGCAATCAGAGAATGTTGGCTTCTTATCATGACAAGAATAAATGGTAGTATCATCAGCGAACAATGCCACTTTAGATGTGAGAATATCTGGAAGATCATTAATGTAAATGAAAAAGAGTTTAAGGCCAAGGATTGAACCTTGAAGAACCCTTGAAGCTACAGAATAAGAAGACAAATGCTGTCCATCGAGGACAACTTTTATACTATGATTGGAAAGGAAGGATTCAATAATTTTAAAGATGTTACAAGATACACTATAAGAAGAAATCTTATTGAGAAGACTGATTGGAGAAGATTGCCCTTCATTATTTTAACAATGGATGAAGGTTTTTAGATAAATTTATTTCATCAACATTGTAGACAGGGTAATTCCATGTTAATTGACCCAGGCCATGTCACCATACCTCTCAGAAATTTTAAATAATGTCATCCTATAGCTCAGATTTTGCTGATAATTATAAGTTTGAAAGTACTTTGTAAAATAAGAGTTCCTTAAAAATTTTAGCCTCTAGCTTTAAGAAGATCCTGAAATATGACCATATTACTTTTAGCACATATTGGCCAACACATATTGGCCATTGGCCTCTTCTCCCTCAGAATTGCAACAAACTTTATTTAGAGGTTTCAAGTCACATAACTTAAAAAGTATTTGATCTTTGTTTTTAAAAATTTGTACCTGGCTATTTTTAGAGGTGGCAAATCCAATAAAATGTTTATACTTGTTCTATTTTAATTATTTTCAAATAAAAATATAAAAAGATAAAGTGTCAAGATAGTGTTTAGATTTGCTTTAACAGTTGAAGTATACATACATCCAGTTGTTCTTATAATAAATGATACAAGTTGTGTTAGTTATTAATACCTAACACTCATATACTCTAGTTGGCCAGAAAAGTTTGTAAAAGAGACGTGGGGGTGCATAAACGTAGCTATAACATCTGTAACAGATGACAAAATTTTAACAATCTTCCATCACTATGAAAAAGTTTTAGTATGATAAATTTCATTTATCATACTAATCAAGTAAAACAAATCATATTTACACAGAACTCACCAAATATTAACATGCCTATGTTAGTTTTCTGATTAGTTTGAGAACTTTAAATACCATAAAATGAAAAAATGCCTGTTATGTTAACATCTCCACTTGTTCATTTAAAGCTAACAGTATCTATAGGTTCTGGGTTAAATTGATTATTGCTCCTAGTTCTAGGAGTTGTTCTACTTTTTAAATCTTTACATGATAATGACAGTTTCTTAAAATTTTATCATCTGTTGTTCCAGATCTTTAAACTCATTATGTTCTAGTATCTTTTCTTTAACAATCAAATCTCTTAAATCAGTCTTTCTATAATAATTTAATTTATGACAAGTATTGTTTAACAATTTTCTAAAATCACACAAATCCATTTTTACTGTAAAACCAACTACTGAGTTGATTTTAGAATAAATGAAAAATGAGAAACCAATAGTAATTAATATAATTGTAAATAATTAATTGAATTTAAGGAACTTGAACACCATGGTAATGGAAAACTAAACAGTGATCGATTTCTTTTATCTTTTTTTTGAATGTAAAAGATAATTTAACAAGGTAGTTTAATTGTAATTAGTTTGTTAATGTTAATGATGAATTAAAAATAGGTAACAAATTTCTTCTATTCTACGTAATGACAGGATGTTTTTTGTTACTGTTGATTGTTCTTATTTAATAAAACAACTTGATGTTAATATTTTAGTATCAGAAAATTTCATTTAAAATAATGATTTTAGAAGGTTATAATTTTCTTTTTGATTAATGAAATGTTATGGCTAGATGTTGTTTTTTATTTTTACTGTTTGATTTTAGTTGATTAAAAAACTTGCTGTTGCAAGTTTTTTAATTAACATTTTAGCATTAAAAAATATCAACTTTTTTTAATTCGAAAAGTTTAAAATTGTACAGTCTAAAATTCTGTTAAAATCATTATTTAAGATGGATGACAATTTTTTATCTGTATACTTGCATTTCAAAATTTTATAAACTTTCTTAAAATGTTTTGAAAAAGACCATTGAATACAGAATGATCAAAAACCAAATAGATCAAGTATAAACCAAAAACCTTTTGAAGACAATACAACCTTGTCTTGGGCCCTAGAAACATTTGTAATAATTTTAAAATACTTTTTTTATTTTTATTTCTTGACTAATAGTAAGTAGTAATAGGGCAAATTGATTTAAAAAAAAAAATGTAAAAATTCCCACCCCTAATGCTCACATTGCTGCTAACCCCACAATCTTTGTTGGGCATAGCTATAATGCAGTAGAAAGTCAAAAGCATTTTACTTCATAAAGAAACTCAAAGATACAATTTTTTTGTATCAGCACTACAGAAAAGCCAGAAGTTTTAGAGCTGTAGCTAATCTTGAAGGTAGTGAAAAATCAATTGCAATATTCTGCTGCAAAAAAGTGGGGACCGTGCCCCATCAACCATATATAGAAATCCATATACTTGCAGATCAAAATCTTTATGTTTTCTGAAAGATCAATAAATTTAGTATGAGGAGTCAATTTTTTTTGATATCACCAAGGCCACATAGGTTTCTTAGTATCAAAATTAGGTATATAAATATTTGCATAAATTTATAACATTGGCCAATTTCTACTTAAAGTAAAATGGTCATATTTCAGGATCTTTTTGGAGCTAGAGGTTAAAATTTTTCAGGACTTCTTATTTTACTAAGTACTCTCAACTGAATAAAAATCAGCAAAATCTGAGATTTTTAAAATTTAGACTTGTCATTTGACATGGAATTACCCAGACATAAGTTTTTTCCGAAGAAATCCAGATTCTGAATTATTTTTCTGAAATCTTTTCAAATGGACGTTGCCTTAACACAGACTTTACTTTTACAGATTTTACAAAAAAAAACATTATTTTTCTGTGAAACCTTAAAAAGATAGTTTCAAACAATTATTATAAGATAAGTTGAACTATAGTTTAGCAAGTTTAACTAAATTGCAGTATTTAGTTTAGAAAATATTGCTATTGCACAACATCTGACTCAAGTATGACACACATTACAAAATCTATTGATAATCTTGCCAAGTTATATAGTGACTTTTACCAGCTTCAATACCCGGATGTACAAAACACTATTATTAGCAATATAGCTAATACAATGAGTGACAGAGTTGCAACTGTCATCTTCACCCCTTGGACGCAATGATCAGTGCTTGCAAGTCTTCAATTAAAACATTAGAGACTTCCAAAGGAAAACTGTTTGGAAAAGACTGTATTACAGCAAATATTGTTTTACAGCTAGGAGGTAAACAGCTGATGACCAAAAAGTTGTATCTTTGATTTTCTTTTTGAAGTAAAATGCTTCAAAAATCGATTGTTGCAACAGATTGTGAAGTCTTGTTTTTAAAAAGAATGACCTTTATAAATTAAAATTTTAGTTAAAAAAAAAACAGAGTAAAAAATTTAAATAGAGCTGAAAATACTTATGAACAATGCTGTGGGTAGAGGTTCAGAATCCTCCCTCCTCCAACCTGTCATTAGGGCGTTAAAATCTTAAAAACCTTTCATTACTAGGTGTATTACTAAAAAAATCCTTTTATTTGAAAAAAGAAACTTAAATTTGAAAAAGAGCCCACAAATTTTTAGGCCCTAAAAATTGCTTAGCAGGGCTAGCCTCCATGCTTACAAACTACACATAAAAATCTATTTAACTTGAGGTAAAGATATTGTTTGTTGAGTTCTAAATTTTTAGTTAAAAGTCTTTGAAAATTGTGTCATGGAAGTAAATATAGTTCAAACACTAAATTATATATTACAATAACACAGTTTACAGTATATTACTGTGTCTCAAAAATTTAGCGTTTAAGTTGATGGCATTTCCTTGAAGAAATAATTTAACTTTTGCAAATGGCTTTTTGCAATCTTCATTTGTGTAATCAATATCTATTGGACAATCATTCTAAATATCACAGTGTTTTTCCAAACACTCAATGCAATTACCAGTTAATGCCAATTTTAATCTTTGTTGTGCACCTTTTTGGATACCCTTCATTTTCAGATATCTTAGCTACCATTTTACTAGTGATCTTTGCACGTTTCAATAAGATTGTGTAATCATCACATTTACTACTTCTGAACTTTCACTTCTAGAATTGTCTGTATGATTAAACAATTGATTTATATTTGTTTCAAGTATTTTTCCTTCAGGTAGCAGGTTTCGCAAAAACTAGCTGAAAAATGTTTCTTCTATGTAACATCCAGGATTAGTAGTTTTTAATTCTTCTCGTCGGTTCCAGGTCAAGCCTCATTCTACTCCATGGTTTTCACTTTCTTGTGCAGCTGGTATATCTAACTTTAATCATTTTTAAAAATCTTTTTCAAAAGAACAACTCTCTTGAGAACAAACGGCTATTTATTATTGCAAGAAATCCATGTAAAAGTTGCTGCCAGATGCTAAGCTCCATTATTCTCAGTTCACTAAATCTCGTATCTTATCTCAGAATTTAGACTTTTGGAAAATCTTATAGAGAATAGAGACTTTCGGAAAATCTTCAACAGCGTTGTTAACAAACGTAAGTCTAACATTCCATCTTTCATTCATGGGGTTGATCTTATTACCTCTTCTAAGGATAAGGCAGAACTATTTGCAAAGAACTTTTCTTCTAATTTGACTTTTGAATCTTATGGCCGTTTTCTTCCTTCCATTCCAATTAAACAGGTTAACCCAATATTAGACATTCAAATCACTTCCAGGAGCTATTCTAGGAAAAAAATATGGGTGGCCGTACCCCTCTGTCCTGGAGAAATTAAGCTGAAATATTTCCAAACATCCGTGGAAAAAACAATACTTGCCATAAAAAACATTAAAAAAAAAAAAGTCCTTGATTTTCGACAAGAGGTTGTTCTAGACCACTTTTGACAGCATCGACTGTGCTGTCGAAAATGGTCTAGAATAGCCCCTGACTCCAGCTTCTGCAATGGCTTGTAAGTTTTTACTCCAGCAAAACTCATATACTGCAAACAACTATTGCAGTACTGTTGACATTCCTATATTAATGAATGGTAACCCTCTCACTGAGTCCTCTTCTTAACGCCTTCTTGGAATATTGTTTTTACTGACCTTTCATGTAAACCATATATACTATTGATTTCTAAATTAGCATTCGCTAAGGTTGCTTCTCTTTATGGCGCTCTCCATTTTATCTCTCCTGATTTCATTCTCTACCTCTACAAATCTCTTATTCGTCCCTGTATGAAATACTGTTATCATATTTGAGCTGGTTCTTCTAATGATGCTCTTTTTCTTCTAGACAAGGTCCAAAGATACATTGTAAAAGTGTAGTTGGATCTTGTTTTTTTTCTGCTAAGCTTAAGCCTCTTTTCCATCATTGTAAAGTTGTATCTCTTTCTCTTTTCTACAAATACTATCATGGTTGCTGCTCAATGATGCTCTCATCTTTAGTTTTGTATTTATCGCTGCATGCTCTAAAAACTTTTATTTATCTAGTTTTCCCTGTACCTTCCCCCTTAAGAACTCTCTCCCATCTTCATGTTTTTTTCTGACTGAAATATAACCTACAACATTTCTGTCAACCGTTTCCTTTTATTTTAACTATTCTTTTTTCTAGTAACTCTCAACTTAATTGTGGTTGCTTGCAACCTTGTAATAACAATAATAACAAATTTATAATTTTGAATAGCAAACTTTACCTCTCTTTTTTCAGGTTTATACTTAAATGACAACTAAATAATGCTACTCCAGTTAAAAGATCAAACGTAAAACATAGTATTGTCATTTTATTCCTTAATTGACAAACTTCAATTGAGATTTCTTTAATAAAATCACTTGATCGAGGAATATTACCAAATTTTAAAAGGAAATGATATCTTCTTAACTTTTGCTTTGTCTTACATAATTTTGAAAAATCCATCAGTGGCTTCTCAATCAAATTTCCATATATAGGATTTCTTGGCTTTGAAATATTGGAAGGGCCATCTTTTTTTTCAACTTTGTCCAATTAAATTAGTCTTTGATATCTTATATATCTGAAGTACAGTTTATATTTAAATATATACAATATATAATAGTTAAACAATATGAGTTATTAAAGCAAATTTTCAAACTTTTGATGATACTTTAAAATGGATATGTGCAGAGGGTTTTTTGCGTTTTTATAGTTTATTCTTATGTTTTTGTGAGTTTTTGGTAATTATTCCACCAATAGTTAAAGGGCTGTCACCTGAATAAAAAATTTTCCACCTCTAGTGAGCATCTTTGTCGTTGAATATATGCTCCAAGGCGTTTACCATGTGAGATATCCACAGACTCCTGTTTTTGTGGATCACACTAGCTTTTACAAAAGTGTTCTCTAGAACTCTCTTTGAGATGAAGTATGGGCTATTGTTCTTAACATATCAAAGACTTCAACAAAGTTTATATATAGACTCACTTCATACAGTACACCTAAGGAAGTTTTGAAAATTATTAAACCTTTTTTCTCCATCATTTCAAGTAAAATTCATTATTAGTTTTTTTAAAATTATATATTATAATTTAATTTAATGGTACTTTATGTTTTTAAATAAATGCTAAACTGTAAAGTTAAACTCAACTTGATTATGATGTAACATTATGAGGTAAATAATAGAAAATGAAATTGAACAGTTTTTTCAAATAATAATAGTCTGTATTGTTGTTCCCAACTTATTATTATAAGTTTATATAAATATTTTATCATATATAAGTTTCAAATATATATTGAAATAATATTTATTTTAAATTTATATGTTTTTAGTGCATTCACAGAAGTTAATAGAAAAGTTCGAATTAGTTGAATGTGAAGCTCGATCAATTATACTTAAATGGCAACTAAATAATGCTACTCCAGTTAAAAGATCAATTGTTAGTTGTTCAAGGTTTGATGGAAGAGAGGAAACATCAACACAAATCTTATATATGACAGGTTTTGTGACAATAAATAATCTTGCACCAAATACCAAATACAAGTGTAAGGTATGTATTGTTCTGTATTTTGCAACTGCTAATTGTTGTAAATAGCAAATGCATCGAATATTGTTAAATTAAGTATTACAAATGAATTGCACAAGTTAATATGGAACAAAAAGACAAGTTGAGTAAATTACTATAATTAAACCTTGTATCTAATAGTAAAGATATTTGCCAATTAATGACAAGAAAAAATATTTTTGTTTCAAGTTTCAATAAATTTTACAATGTTACTTGCCACATTCATTACTTGAGTTAATAGTAATAGTTAATAATAAGGCTTTTTCCAGCTAATAACATTTTTGATTGCAACTTTCTAAGAATTAGGCAGAGCTCAAAAGAGATCCTCCTCAAAATTGCTATAATTTTAGTAATTTTTTAGTTTTAGTAAAGCCTTCTCTAGATATTGGACTTTAAAGTTTGACAGATGTTTTAGAAATATCAACCAGATGGTGTCAAAACCATTTTTAAACTTGAACAAAGTACATACTTTTCTATAGGTATTTCACCTGATTATTGTTTATTATTTATTATTTGATTATTATTTATTATTTCACCTGGATATTGGCTAATTTAGAACTAAAAATGATAAAATAGGTAAAGTAAACATTTCAGCCTGTCTAATTACCATGCTTCAGAAGTATGCAAGAATCAGTTTTTTGTCATTTTTGGTATTTATTTTCACCTAAGTCTTGAATACCCCTATAAAAATTTATTGTTATAAATCTTCACCTAGTATGGTATCTATAAATACAAACTTATGAAAAATTAAAACAGTAAAAGAATATAATTTTTATAAAAAATATGTATGGGGTTTTGCAATAGTAAGAAAAAAATTTCATTTCAATCATCATTTTCATCCATAGTCTTTGGCTGCTAATTTTTTTAAAAATTATAAACCTTTATTTAGTAAGGTACCTCAAAATAAAAAAACTCGTAGGAAAGAAAATTCTTTGGAGTTGTTCATAAATTTCATCACATTGGGAGGGGGAGAAGTGTATATATTTTGCAACACTTTGTGACAAGAAGGGAAAAGGTTCAAAAAGCTCCCCAAAAAGCACAATATAATATATCAACAGCCCTGAGTTTTGAGTTTTGAGAAAAACCTGAGCAAAATTCTTTTAACACTCAAATTAAAAATAATAGTTTCTTTAATAATTATATGGATTTTTCAACTATGATGTATTATATGAAAAAATTATAGAACACCTAAGGCTTTTGATGAAAGTGAAGATTAAAATGAACAAAAAATCAATTTTTGTGCACTTTTGAAGCATGATATTTAGACAAGCAGTCTGCCATTCTTTTCCTTTTTTAGGTCTCAACTAGCGTATATATAATGAAATAAAATAATCATGGAAAAGTTTTAGGGTTTTGTTCTAATTTCAAATTTGAAAATGCATTTGACACTGTTTGGTCAATAATTATAAAAATTCCAATATCTAGAGAATAAAGAAATTTTATCGCAATACAATATTTTTATCAGGAATTATCTTTTTCTGGATGTTTCTGGAATTCGGTTATTTTTCTTAACTTTAAGTTTTTCCCGATATCCATAATGTTTTCCATACATACAAGTTTAGATATTTTTGTAATATGTATTTTTTTTAGGCTTTCTCACTCTACAAAAATTATTACTCATACAAAAACTAGGAAAAGTTTGAAAAAAATTGGAAGCAAGTTAGCTAAGAGCAAAATAAGGAGGAAAAAAACAGAAAATATATTTCAAATTTTTTCCGGAGAATTTACTTTAACAATTTTCCCAATTTTAAAAATTTTCAAAATATGACCAGAATGATCTGTTTTATACATACATACAATTCTTAAACAAATGTAAAAAGTAAAAGTTACACACATACTAAAACAAAAACTTAAAACAAAAAAAAAAAATGTTTTAAGTTTTAGTTCATAGAGTATTAAGATTGTTTTTTAGCTTTCAAAACTTGGTCTTGTTTTAATTTTGGTTAAAATTTGGTATTCAAATGTGGCTAAATTTGAACATATTTTGACACGTAGCTTCAGGAAAATACTTTTTTTTTTTTTTAAATTACCTCTTTAAGCTGTTCTTTAAAAGAAAGCATATATTACAATAGCTGTTATAATCAGGGTTGGCAAAAACCCGTTTTTTTAAAAAAAAAAACCAGCCCAGTGGTTTTTTTTGGTAACTTTGGGTTTTATTGGGTGAATTTGGGTTTTTTTGTGTTTTATTTGATTTCGTATCTGTTAAATTTTTTTTTTGTTTAATATATTGAAAATAAATTTCAATATAATTAACAGTATAATTTTCTACTTTAACTTTATTTAAAATATATTTTATAAAATGTTATTTAATATTTTATAACAAGAAATTTTCAAATTGTTTTGAAAAAAGTTTTTAAACATAATTTAAAACTGTAAAAGAAAAAAAAAATTTCCTATTAATCCTATATGTATTGATTTTTTTTTAATTTAAAAGTAATATTTTTTTATAATTTAAAATCTCGATAAGAAATGGGAAAAAGAAGGCTGGAGAATGGGAGAAAGTAACTGAAATTTCAGTTGAACTTTAAGTTTAAATTTGAAATTCGAATGAAATTTCAAATTTAAACTTCAAGTTTAAATTTGAAATTTCAAATTTAAACTTGAAGTTCAATTGAATTCTTTAATTTTTTTATGAAAGAACTCTTTAATTTTTTCTTAAAAATTAAAACGCCAACTGCAAATTTTTTTTGTATATACTTTGAATTAAGTTTCATATTTTTAACACTTTAACTGCTTATATTAGGTTATATTAGGTTAAAAAATTTCTTAACAATATTACGTTCTGTTCAATTCTATAGGATTTCATTAAACCAATAACAGTTATTTTACAATATCATAGGATAGAGATTATTTTTACTAAACTCATGAGATACTTACTAGATCTATAATGAAATTGTAAAAATGTTGTAAAAAAACAACAACAATATTTTTATATAATGCATTAATCATAAAACAAATGGTTGCTAATCCTAAAAATTCTGGTTGTTATAAGTAATTTAACTTAAATTGTTCAAACAAACACAGTAGTCATACTTTTTTGTTTAAATTTTTTGTTGTTGCAAATTTGACTTGCATTAATTAAGCTCTGAGTATTTGTTTTACATAAAACCATAGTTTTTGTAAATCAGATTTCCAATAGGTTATTTTTTTTCTAAATAGATTAAAGAGGCTTCATTGTGATATGTTGTTAGTATGTTTATACGTTTCCAATATGTAACAGCCAGTAACATTTAAATAAACTGGGCATATTTGGGGCTTTTAATATTAAAATTAATAATCATGAATTACAGCTTTTTTTTAAATTATAAAGAACAGTTAAAAACTTTTTAAGCTGAACTTAAAATTTAGTTAAATAGAATTTGCAATACAGTAAAAACACATGTATAGTTAGTGTTTAATTGGTTTACATTATAAGTATGTAAATGTAATATATGTAAATTGCATATTTGTAAGTTTTAGAGAATCAATAAATGTTAACATTATTTAAGCGGGTACTCAAATAAGCACAACTTTAATGCATAGCGGGTATGGTTTTAAAGAAACAACAACAAAAAAACTCATTGGTTTTTTGAAAGAAAAAAAATAAAGCCACAAGTAAAAAAATCCTTTTTAGTAATTTAGATTCATGATATAGTAAAGGAAAATCCAAAACCATAAGTATAAAACTTGTAAGCCAAGGTACTACTATCAGCTAATTTTACCAAATATAGAAAGTATAATTTTTACCAACTATAGATAAAGCTTTAGCCCCTGTTGCATGCGTGTATTAGTGTTTATGGAAAATATAATATAAACTAATCTATATAACAAAATCTCATATATGTTGTTCAGCATCTATCAAATGTTTCTTGTCTGATTTTTATTGATAATTTTCTAGACCATTGTTTGGTGTCATGCTTATAGACAATACAGTATACTGTATAGGCTATATCATCTGCACTTTGCTCTGCATTAAAATATAATTGTATATTACCATTCATTTTATTCCTTTCAATAACCATTTGTTTATTTTTTTAACTTAATGAAGGTTAGACCTTTTTTTTTGTTTCCGTTTTATTTATTGTCTGATTTATGCAAGATTACATAATTCTTCTGAAAATTGTTTTAGAAAGACAACCCGCTATACATTACGAGACATGTAGACATCCACATTGTAATTATTCTTTTAATAATTACTGCTTTATTTCTATTTTTATTTCATTTTGTTTAATTGTATAAATACTCAGATATTTTTTGTAAATATATTTATTTGTTACATTGGCTGATTATTTAGTGAGTTTATGGGAACAAACATAATCTTTGTTGATTTCTCATCAAAATTTTATTTTATGATGGATTCCGATAGTGATAGTGATGTTTTTGCCGATAATTTATTGCAAATATCAAGTGATGCGGAGTTTACTGACTTAGGTAGCAAAAGAGATAAGGAATTGTTTTTAGTAAAAAGAAGCAGAATCTTGTCAACACCATCTAGCGACTCTGAAGAAAGTGATGATGAAGTACTGGACTGGTCAAAGAATGATAATGTGCCTATAATTATGATAAATGTGCCTATAATAAACCATTCATAGAAAAAAGTTGGGTTTTTGTTATGCCAAACAATATCGTGAGTGTAGTTGATGTGGTTAAGCTATTTATTGGGGATGATTTATTTGAATATATGAAACAAATCGCTACCATGCAAAATCTACAGTTATTTAGAGATAGTGTAAAATCTGTTGAGTGGAAACATGTGTCTGTGTTGGAACTAAAAAAATGGTAGGGCTACTTCTACTTATGAGTAGAGTCCGCAAAGATACAAGGGAGGAATATTGGTTGACGAACTAAGCAATTCAAACTCCAACTTTTGCTCAAGTAATGAGAAGGGATTGATTTCGACTATTATGGTATTCATGGCATTTTTTCAATAATGCTAATGGAGAGGATAATGATTGCCTTAAAAAGATCCGCCCTATAACCCTGGCCCTGGCTAAATAATAGTTCAA